AGTGCTGCTTTGTTTACCTTCCTGGATTCATTTGATTGGCTACTGTGCTGACAGGTCACACATACATACACACAGGTGCAGAGAGAGAGGGGGAGGAGTGAAATGAATGGATTAGTGCACGCATTTAAAAATGTTTTAATATTTGGGTTTGTATCAAGTCTTTTCAAGTCAAAGGGCTCAAGTCCGAGTGAAGTCACAAGTCATTGGTGTTAAAGTCCAAGTCGAGTTGCAAGTCTTTTTACATTTTTTCAAGTTGAGTCTAAAGTCATCAAATTAATGACTGAGTCCGACTCGAGTCCAAGTCATGTGACTCGAGTCCACACCTCTGGTAGATGCCGTTCTGATCCACACTCCAGTCTAGAAGGTGGCGGTAATGCACCAAAAGCTGGTTGCCAACCACCATTAAACAACAGAAGAAGACGAAGAAGCTCTGCGTTTGTCAGTAATGTTGCTGTGCGCACAGAATGGATGCAGAGCAACCTCGGAAAAGCTTAGAAAAATACCGGTATGTTAACACTACTGCTAAAGCCTTTTCTAAAGGCGATACCGTCCTAGTCAGTGTATTTGCATCTGTATTGCTCACTTGTGTGATTTTGTCTTGGAGTACAATGTTACTTGTGGCTAACGTTATGCTAACGTTAACTAAACTAGTTTTGGCAAATATCATGTTGTACTTTACAGCATAATAAAGTTAAACGAGTATGACGGGTGTTTTTCTTCAGTTTAGTATTAACGTTAGCTGTCATTAACTTTTCATAGTCACTGGTCCGTAAACAGTTGAAATAATCGTTTGTCAGCTGGCTAACAAACACGAGTCATGCTGTTGTCTGTGCACTATTTTGCCGTCTACAATGTTTACCTGCCATTGTTTTCCATTTAGGCTTCATCTGCACACACTGGCTTTGAAACCAAGCATATGTGGATGTAACGTGACTGCCATTAGTGCAAAGAAGTTACACTGGTGCGTACGACATACTTTCCGTCCTCAGACCTCTTTTGCCGACTATGACCCCCCCCGTATTAACACAAATAGGGATGGGGTTCGATGGCATTGTGTCGAATCTAAATCCAATTATTGAATCTGAATCATTTATCCATTTTGATTATTTAGAATTATAATAATGCATTTAATTATATTGTGCTTTTCGGAGAACTCAAAGACTTAAGAGGTTTGCTAGTTTAAACATGTTGATGTTACTACAGCAGAAAAACAACTAGTGTTTTGTGTATCAAACATAATATTTATGAGTCTAGGTCTTGGGTCTTCATTTTATTTGTAACCAAATGCGTAGCGTGTGCAGCGCGTAGCATCTCATGCATAGCTCGAGCGAGGCTTGCGCTCGTGTCCACAATGGTAGCGTTTTGGGCACAAAAAGTGCACATAGGTGCCTACAAAAACACATTGGAGAAGGGAGTCTATTACCAAATATCCGATAAATAGTACACTCGAAATAGTTCAAGTTCAAAGTGTTTATTTGTCATACGCACAGTTAGGAAACGCGTTTCCCTGTACAATGAAATTCTTACTTTGCCGTCCACATGAATGCAACAAAATACAAATGAAATATAAAGTAGATAAATAAGTAACACAAAGTCTAAGGCACTTTAAGCAGCAAATGCAGAAATATATATATAATATATAAGAATATAACAGGATGTATGCTACATGGGAGCAGCATGTGCAGCAGTCAACAGTCAATGTGCAAACTGAGAATGTAAACAATACATGATGTATTTCCTGGTAATAAACTCCTCAGCTGTTTAGGAGTCTGATGGCAGAGGGAAAGAAAGAGTTTTTCAGTCTAGAGGTCCAACATTTCACACTTCTGAACCTCCGGCTGAAGATGGTGGTGAGAACATCAGCCAGCTCGCTGGCACATGCCCTGAGAGCCCTCCCAGGGATGTTGTTCGGTCCTGCTGCTTTGCGGGGGTTGATCTTCCTCAGGACTGTGCGTACCTGGCCTGGTGAGACAGTTAGTGGAGG